GCCACTCATTCTTCTCCTTTTCTCTTGCCAGCTCAGTTTCGAGAGCATCTCTCTCAGTCTCCACCTCTGCCAACCTCTTCTTCAGCCTCTCAATCTCAGTATCCTTAGCCCCACTTTCTTGCACTAAGGCTCGCACCTTGCTATTCACTGGTACCTTCTTGGATGAACCAGGCTCTTTAGGAGTGGCATGGACTTCGTAGTCACAATCAAGCAGAGTATGCCCCAAAATGATCCTTGCTTATGCTAACCTCCCACTTCTTGTCACGACCCAAAATCCCTCTGAAGAAGTCGTGATGGGACATAGTCTCTAAAACTAGGGAAGCCTAACATTAATAGGAATAACGACAATATTTGATAACATCGAACAATTTCGAAATAGAAATCTCTATACAATTTACAATCCCAAAACCGGTAGTATAAGTCATAAGCTTTTCTAGGAGTAGTTATACATAATTAATACGTCACTGTTTCGGAACAAAAGGAAACAATGGAAATAAATACAATAGAAGGTGACATCGGTGCCTGCGAACGCCCAGCAGGTGTACCTTGAAGTCTCCAGCCATACCAAGCATAAGTCGCAAAGCCAACCCGATCCGAAGTACCTGGTTCTGCACAAAAAGATGTGTAGAAGTGTAGTATGAGTACACCACGGAGGTACCCAGTAAGTATCAAGTCTAACCTCGGTAGAGTAGTGACGAGGCCAGGTCAAGACACTATCGAATATATAACCTGCAGGATATGACTTAAATCTAACAAGAGAGGACTATCAGAGTAATACCAATAGCAGAAGGATATCAAACTGCAAACAATAGTAAATATAAGAGGAAAACACGAATGACAACAAGAATTAACCAAGTAACTAAACAACAACATAGTTGGGGTCCGGATGAAGCATAAATGAGTTCAAGTAGGGAAAACGATGTTAACTCAACCAATTGAATCGTTTCTAATACACAATTCCAGCAATCCCAATCCTCGTAATCTCATATCATAATCACAACTTTCAAACGTTTAACACACATGGCACCTTGTGCCCACATATTTTCATCTCACTTTGCACGAAAATCTACGTGCTACTCAGTACATAATATCCGTGTCACATGCTAATTAAGGTGTCCAAGAGATTTTTACTTTTATATATATATATATATATAATTTTTTTTTTCATAAAGTAATAGTACATTTTCTAGACCAAGTAGGAAATTAGTGAGAAAGATAGGTTTATTTTAGAAATCATTTGAGTGAAGAAGAATAACATTTCCAAATAAAATAAAACATCGAATAATCTTTTGAATTTAACATAGGGTTTATTAAATTAAGACATAATAATGATTCCTTTTTAAGTGAAACAAAAACCTCAGACAGGTTAAGGATATTAAGTTGAGAAGTTAATTAAAGTAAAATGTAAGAACTATTAAAAATAGTAAATACCAAAATGTACGGAGAGTCTTAACCTAGCTAGAAGTCACACAAGGTAGCATGATATTAATTCTTTTATTTTAAATCACTATATTACTAACAACTAAGCAGGACAAGAGGTTATGACTCAACGTACTAAATTCACTTTGAAAATCAATTCACCAGAATAATAGTATTAGAAAAAGAGCACAGGAAACGACAGCAAGGCAATAAGTCAATGACAATAACTCGATCCTTAGAACACAGTGAAAACCAGAAATACAGATTATCAGAGTCTCGTACGAAGGAACTGAAGCCAATACAGTAAAATAGGGGATACCAAAATACAAGATATGTTGCGGCGGGCAACCCGATCCCACCATATAAGTCACCCTTATTCCACCATATCAATTCACCCTTATTTCACCTGTTAGGGGATGCAACCCGATCCCACTTTACAATATCAATATCATAACGATAAACATAATATGTTGCGGCGTGCAACCCGATCCCACCATATAATATTAATATCATAACTCACCCTTATTTCACTATAATAATCCACCCTTATTTCACCTATTGCGGTGTGTAACCCGATCCCGCCGTAGAATAACAATATTACAATATGAATATCCTCCCTTATTCCACCACCTTTTATTTCACCTGTTGCAGCGTGCAACCCGATCCCCCGTACAATAACTTAAATCAACAACAACAATTCAATAACTAAAGTTACCAGAATCTCTACAATCAAGGGTATGAGTACACGACAACAAGGGAACCACATGAAATCAAAGGAATACAACAACCTTTAGAAAATGACAAGACATATGAGGCACGTGATAACTAAGCAAACAATCAAAACAATTTGGACATGTAGCAGATATGCATATAGTCATAGAATAACTTAATAATTAAGAGGTAACAAGACAACAAGGAAGGCAATGACTTCAACCAAGGCATATAAGGGACAAATAACGAGTAAGAGGTAGATAAGTGCTAAAAACATCATATAGAGCATGTAACAGTCTAACAACAAGATACCACATGTTATGACAATTTAATCAAAAGCATGGAAAGAGAATAGACAATCTAAATCTGACAATACGACATATAGGCTGTGTACCCACTCGTCACCTTGCGTACACAACTTTAACATAACAAGATAACAGAATTAACTCAATTCCTAAGGGGTGGTTTCCCCCTCACAAAGTTAGACAAGACACTTATCTCAATTCGGCCAACTCAATACTCAATTGAGCTTTTTCTTTACCAATTCACCATCGCTCGGCCCAATCTAGCCAAAGAAGACTTAAATAGATCAAACAATGCAAGAGAAAATAATTTATATCAACTCCCAGGCCCGCACCTCAGAACCCGACATAATTTACAAAACCGAACACCCATTCAATTACGAGTCCAACCACACTAGTTTCACTCAATCCGACTCCGAATCGGTATTCAAAACTCAAAAATTCACTCTACCCTCCCCAGACCCCACTGGTGGAATTTTACTGGATTGTTGTTGTTGTTAATGTACCCAAAATCGAGTATAGAACACTTAACACAATCCATATAGTGAAAATCACCTCCGAAAATTATCCAAATCCGAGCTCCCCAACTCAAAATATGACCAAATGAACAAACTTTTGATATTAAGTATTTTTCCCCAACTATTTTGCCTCGTTTTGCGTGTCAAACGATCCCGAAACTCGCTTTTGATGCCTCCAATGGATTCCTTGTGAAATATCAGTCAAGTTAGGTTT